AATCCTTGCATCAGCGCCTTGGGGTGTCCTCCCGACGTGAAAGGCGCTCTATAAATGGAATCTTGTTGTTGACGTAGTGCCTTATCCTGTCGTTGAGACAGAATATATTGCAAAGTGAAGTGACTGTATATTTGTGGGCGAAACGCAGCAGCCAATTGCACACAGCAGTGACCCACAAACAGTTGTGAATTGAGTGACCAATTTTTTTGAGGGATTGTTATTATTACGAATTAACTAATTACTAATCAATATTTGTAATTAACGATTGAAGCAGGAATGCGAGGAAGGGTGATTGAGGATTCATTTAAGTAATGGCTTGAGCCCATGATGGGAGGAAGGTGCGGAGGGTGTTCTGGAGAGACGAGATAATGTGGGCTAAGGGAAGGGGGTCTTCACTCAAACCAATCCTGTGGTAAAAATTGCTGCCGTTCTGCTCACTGACTCTGCCTATCCAGTGGTGAATCACATGGCAGGAAGGAATAAGATTTACAAGATTCAGTCAGTGGTAATCACCTCCACTGACAGGAATAGAGAGTTTCCCTGAAAAATGAATACACCAGTCTTCAGTGTATAACGAGGACCTTGTGTGCATCACAGATTATAATGTAGGACCACACTCATGAAATAACATGTGCATCACTCATTTTGTTACACTTGCCTTGAGCGTTCGGGATATCTGTCATCAATTTTACCGGCACATTGCTTTTTAAAGCACATTAAAAATGAGAGTAACGCGTAAAAGCACATGAGACTGTCGCTTCTCCTTCCTGTATTTGTCATTCTGGCTCAGTTGGGAGACTTCTCGCCTCTGAGTCAGAAGGTTGTGGGTTCAGGCCCCCACGTCAGTACTAAGCTGACACTCTCATGCAGTGCTGGGGGGGTGTTGCATTGATGGCGATGCCATCCTTCGAATGAGACGTGAAAAACGAGATCCCGTCTGCCTGTTCAGGTGGATGTTTAAGATCCCATGACACTATTCAAAAAGCAAAAAGGACTTTCTCCCGGGGTTCTGGCCAACAATCCCCCAAATAAAAATTGGTCACTCGCTCCGTGGCTGTTTGAGTCATGCAACTGCAAATTGGCTGCCGTGTTCACCTACAAAATAGTCATAATAATCCTTGCATTAGATATTGAACCTTTCACATGAGGAGGATGTCTCAAAGCACTTCACAGGATAGAGTGTGAAGTATAATAACTGTATATAAGTGGGACTTGAACCCACAACCTTCTGTCTCAGAGGCGGAAGTGCTACCAACTGAACCAGGTGGACACAAGTACCAGGAAGAGCTTGAGATATTCTCCTGATGTGAAAGGTGTCAGGAGGATATCTCAAAGATAACAAACAATGGGTTCTTAGGTGAATCAACAACTGCACCAATTTGCATTTATATAGCGTCCTTCACCCGGGGCAGCGACTCGGAGCCCTTAACAGTGGTGGAGCCTAACCCTGAGACTGGAGTAGAGAGGACGTGACTGCTAGCATGGTCGAAGAGGAAGGTTTTCAAGTGTGATCTGAAGATGGGGAGGCAGGGGGCAAGGCAGAGGGATTGGGGGAGAGAGTTCTAAAGTTTGGGGGCAGAGTGGCTGAAAGCATGACTGCCGATGGTGGAGAGGAGGGGACGAGGGACAAGTAGGAGGCCAGAGCCAGCTACGGGGAGGTGGCGGGTTGTGGAGTGGGCAGGCAGTGAAGTGTAGGGTGAGAAGGGGTTTGTAGATGCATGCAAATACATGGATTATTATTACAGTATTATTATATGAAGCAGTGCTCATCTTTTCATCTGTAACAGTTTGGTTTTGTTCTCAATGGTTTTCAGAATTGGCTGCTGTGTTTCACCCACAAAATTCACAGTTAATTGCAGACCTGATATAAGCCTTTATATCAAGTGCTAAGATTATTATAATGGTAACACTATGAAAGGCGTTTTCAGTCTAAAAATACACACATCACCTCCGAAGGAGGCTGGCTACACTGTGCATTGGGCAGTGGATCAAATGCACTCCAGTTTTTGGAGGGAAGTTCAGTAACTGGAGTAAAATGCTGCTGGCATTGTTTTATCCTGAGCACCTTTGACATCGCTTTAAATAGTAAAGAGTTTTTGGAAGAGTTGCAGTGTGCAACTGAGCAGGGGAATAAAATATACCTAACAAACGAGGTTGCTCAGTGTATGATCTGAGATCCATCGTGACTGAGCCTCGGTACAAGGCTCGTTTTAATAAACCTTGCATTTGATATAGCGCCTTATCACGTCATCGAGATGTCTCAAAGCGCTTCACAGAATATACGATAAAGTGAATTGACAGTATATTTTGTGGGCGAAACACGGCAGCCAATTGCACACAGCAGTGTCCCAAAAGCAGTCGAAGATTGAGTGACCATATGATTATTGCCCTCTCCTCCGGAAAACGATCTGCCAATTGACTAACAACTGGGTTCCAACTTACGCCAGAGGTAAACAGAGGTGTGTGGAGTAAGGAAACTTGCCTAAGGTTTCACCCTGCCTGGGAACTGAACCTGGGTCCTCTCGCCTGTGAGTCGAGTGCGCTAACCACTTTGCTACGGGACTCCAGAGTACAGTTTTAACTACATTCCGCCCCTCTAAGTGGATGTAAGAAAACCTTTATTGTTTCCAATAAAATCGATAGTTTCTCCAGCGGAGGTGAAGTGGGGCGGTGGTGGAAGGGGGGGGGGGGGAATGGAATATTCTTTGCTTTGCTCCTTTTTTTATTGGATTTCCTGATCACCAATACATCACCTGAATATTTTTGAGGAAATAAACCCTCCAAAAATAAATGTGGTCACACAATCCACGACTGCGTGCGGGACGATGCTGTGCGCAATTAGCTGTCGTTTTTCACCCACAAAATGTACCGTCACTCCACTTTAGAGTATATTCTGTGAGGAGCTTCGAGACATCTCAACGACATGATAAGACTCTATATCAAACACAAGGATTATTATAATTATAAACGTAAAACATGGGATGTGTGGGGGGTGGGGGGTCTGAGTGAAATGTTAAGTGTGTGTTGTGTTGTGGAAGGTTGGTGGGTGGGAGGCTTTCTGAGGAAATGAAAGGAAAATGTACAAGTGTTTTTTTTTCTTTCTGTGTGTGTGAGAGAGAGAGAGTTTGATTTATTTTGGTTGCTCCCTGCGGATTGTTTCTTGTGGTGGGTCACTTTACCCTTTAAACCATGTGAAATAGACAACTGATGAGAGAGGGGGAGAGAGATGGATAGAAAGGGGGAGAGAGTGATTGAGGTAGAGGGGGGGTGAAGGGGGGATAAAGAGAGAGAGAGAATGAGAGAGTGAAAGATAGAGGGAGAGAGGCAAAGAGTAAAAGAGAGGGAGATAGTAAGAGAGGGGGGGGGGGGGGAGAGAGTGATTGAGATTGAGATAGAGATAGAAAGGGGAGAGAGAGATACACAGAGAGGGGAGAAAGTGAGAGGGAGCCTAGAGAGAGATAGGGGAGGAGAGAGAATAGAGTGGAGGGAGAAATATAGAGAGAGGGGGAGAAAGAGAGGGGTGTGGGAGGAGATAGAAATGTGATAACAGTTTGCCTCCAAACCTTTCATTGCACTTGTTTATAACCTAATAGTAGAGAGAGGAGAGTTAAAGGGGGAGAGGGTGGAACTGGTGGATGACAGTTTGGCTTTTAATGCATCTATATCTATATATTTATATATATTTATAGAGAGAGAGAGAGAGAGGACTTTATATATCGTTGTATCACACATCTCTAGCATTGGCTGCTCTCCATCCATCCATCCATCACCCTTCTCCATCTCTCTCTCTCTCTCTCCCTCCCTCCCTCTCTCTCTCTTTTCCTGGATGCTTTTATAACCTGTGTGTGTGTGTGTGTGTATGTGTGTGGGGCTGATGCACTTGTACGTTTGTATATTCCTGTAATAATCCCTCCTCCCCTTCCCCTCCCTCCTCTCTCTCCTCCTCCTCCTCTAAAGTACTCATGCAGTAAAGATCTCTCTCTCCATCCCTCCCTCCCTCCCTCCCTCCCTCCTGTACCAACCATCTGATCCTGCCCCTTTCGGTGAGATCTCCCTCAGGAAGGTTACAGGCTCTGAATTACATAGATCGTGAGATCTAGAAGCGACAGAGAGAGCGAAAGAGAGAGGAGGGAGAAGAGAGAGAGAGAAAAAAACAATACAGTTTATCTCCCCCCCCCACCCCCCACCCCCTACCCACATTAAAATTAACAGTGCAGAGAGAGAGAGAGAGAGGGAGGGAGGTAGGGGTGCAATCCATCAACAGGAAAGCTCTGGGAGTGCCTGTGGGTTATTTTAAATGCACACATCATGAAAGGATTGCAGGTAATATTATTGTTTCCTCTTAATGTGAACTGTTAATATGTTCATGCAAATGTGGCTTCAGTTGTATTTAAGGTGGTGGGTCTGTAGATCTGTGTGTCTGTGTGTGTGTGTGTGTCTGTGTCTCTGTGTGTGCCTGTGTGTGTGTGTCTGTGTGTGTGTGTGTGTGTGTGTCTGTGTCTCTGTGTGTGCCTGTGTGTGTGTGTCTGTGTGTGTGTCTCTGTGTGTGTGTGTGTGTGTGTGTGTGTGTGGATGGTTGTCATATCTGCTCTGAATTCCCCACTTAGCAATTTGTTAAAACTGCATTCTTTTTATTTCTCTCTCTTTCTTTCTCTTTCCACATTCCCCCTTGTTATCCCCTCCCTCCCTCCCTCTCCCCCCTCTCTATCTCCCTCTCCCTTCTCTTGTCACCCCCTCTATCCTTCCTTCTCTCCCCCTCTCTCCCCCCTCTCTATTCCCCTCTCCCTCACCCTTCTCCTGTCATCCCCTCTATCCCCCCCTCCCTCTCTCTCTCCCTATCCCCTCTCCATCCTCCCACCCACCCCCAATGTCTCTCCCTTCTCTTGCCATCCCCTCCATCACCCTCTCCATCTGTACCTCTCTCTCCATCTCTCCTTTTCTCTCTCTCTCTCTCTCCTCCCTGTCTAACTGGCTGTCAAACCAATGTATTCCTTTGGCAGGAACGACTCTGTTGGAGCCTGGACCACACTGGGATGTAAAACTGTGCTCACCGATGCATCCCATACAAGATGTTTGTGTGATCGCCTATCTACATTCGCCATCTTGGCTCAGGAACCCAGAGAAATAGTAAGTAGAGAGGTTGGGGGGGTAAGTGGGGGCTGTTGGGGTGATCCTGGGTTGAACTCTGACATAAACGCGTGTGTGTATCTGTGTGTATTTCCCTCTCCATCATTCTCTCTCTCCAACCCCTACCCCAATAGACAGGTCCACTGCCAGGCTGGTCCTGAATAAATCATTTGATTCTCTCCCTCACTTGGGGCAAAGGCAATACTGCAAGCTATTTTATATGATCTGGTATATTCTCTCTCTATATTATTATCTATTTGTATAAGGCTGCAGGGAACACACTGTATAGAATCGTGTTAACAAGGTCTGTCTCCATTCCTTGCATTGCACTTGTTTAACCTAATATCAATGATTAGACTGTATGACAAGAGGCAGAAATAGTCAAGAAAAATGGGATTTTATTCACCTCCCCTCCCCCTCTTGCTTTCCAATCCTTTTCGGATTTAAGAGAGAGTATGTGGGTGTGTGTGAGAGAGAGAGAGAGAGAGGTAGGAGAGCTTTCGACTTCCACACCTTAGCAAAGAGGTTGCAATATGCAAGAGTGCTTTTTGTTTAAGCAAAATCAAGTAAAAATTCTGGCACGTTGTCATGAAAGAAATTGCATTCATACCTGGGTTTGACATACACTATTGCTTGTTTGGAGGATGGAGATAAATAATAATAAATAATAATAATCCTTGGATTTGATATAGCACCTTATCACGTCGTTGAGACGTCTCAAATATCACTGAGATATCTGTGGCTTCCTGTATTGTTGACACGTAAAGGTTTTCTTCAGAAATCCTGTATTGTTCTTGACTCACACCCTCTGTGTATGTATGCGTCACAATAAACAGCTTACTTTATCTATATAACGATAAATAGAAATAGCATCTTCAGAGCTCCCCTCCCCCAACCCTGTGCACTTGTTTCATCATCCATTTAAACACACAAATTCAGTGCAAAAAGCAAAAGGTACAAAATTAACCGGGTTTGTGGGGGGAGGGGGTGGGGGGTCAGTCTGTCTGTCGGTCTGTCTGGAGAGGCCGAGTCCGCTCACTGGAATATCACTTCCCACCTGCCCTTTTACCCCCTGCACTGTAGGTAAGCGAGGTCAGGCTGGTAAGGAAAAGGTATCAAAGAGGCGTTGAGTGGGACTCCAACCCGATCCAGGGCGAAACACTCACTGCAATTAGCCTTTTTTTTCTTTCTTTAACCCATCAGTGCTGCAAGGTTGATGAGAGGGATTTCATTGCATTGTGTCCTGAGGCAGTTTGCTTAATAAGCTGGTTTGGAAGCCTTTCGGGAAATGTGTGGGGGAGGCGATGGGGAGGGCGTTTAGGCTGGCGCAGTTCGGAGTCACGCTTGACACTCAGTCTGAAGGTTGTGGGTACAAACCCCCACATCGGGGACGTTGAACCCACGTAGTCTAGGTTGATGTTCCAAAGCAATGCTAGGGGAATGTGCTGCATTGTCTGAAGTGTCGTCCTTCAGATGACGTGTGAAACCAAGGCCCCATCTGCCTGTTCAGGTGGACGTTAAAGATCCCAAGGCGCTGTTCAGAAATAGAAGAGAGTTTCTCTCTCCTGGTGTCCTGGCCAACAATCCCCCCCAGATAGAATTGGTCACTCACTTAATGGTTCGTTGTGAGACACCACTGTGCGCAAAATTGGCTGCTGTGTTTGCTTGTAAAATACAAAGCCACTGCATTGTACAGTGTATCCTGTGAAGCGCTATGAGACAACCTTCTGACACGAAAGACTCTATATCAAATGCAAGGACTATTATTGTTATTATTTGTGTGCTTGACTTGGTGTAGCATTAGTTGGACTCTATTTCTGGCCCAGTTTTATACACTGCATTTGGTAAATAGAATCCTGTTTGGCAACTCGACCCAAGCTCTTTATGATAATAATCCTTGCATTTGATACAGCGCCTTATCATGTCATTGAGACATCTCAAAGCGCTTCACAGATTATACTGTAAAGTGAATTGACTGTATATTTTGTGGGCGAAACATGGCAGCCGATTGTGTGCAACAGTGTCCCACCAACAGTCGTGGATTGAGTGACCAAATTTTGGGGGGAGGGATTATTACTCCAGGAAAGTGAAGTGTCAATTGACTAACAACCGGGTTTCTACTTATCTGCTAGGTAAACAGGGTCGTGTGGAGTAAGGAAACTTGCCTAAGGTTTTGCCTTTAGAGTTAATGTTGGCGCTAATTTTGGCAAATTAATTTTGGCAAATCCCACTGAGAGCACTTGGGAACGTTGTGTGTGTTGCACTACAGTACCACGGCTTGGAACCCAGTGAGGAAGTAACTTTGTAAAGTTTTCCTTTGCTGTAACAGCCCCGCTGTCTAACCATTCACTTCAAGCCCCACGTCAGGACATGAGGCCATAGTAAGAGCTGCCATTCTTTAAATAACAAGTGTGTCAGCCTGGCTCAGTGATAGCGCTCTCGCCTCTGAGTCAAGCCCCACCCTGGGACTTAGAGTCATCTGGTCTAAGCTGACACTCCAATGCAGTGTTGAGGGGGTGTTGCATTCTCGGAAGTGCCGTCCATGGGATGAGATCCCATCAGTCTGTTCAGATGGATGTTAACGATGCCACGGCAGTATTCGAAAAGAGAAGGGAATTTTTCTCTCCCGCTGTCCTGGCCAACAATTCCCAAATAAACTTGGTCACTCACTCCATGGCTGTTTTGTTGGACATTGCTGGCCATGTTTCGCCCACAAAATACAGAGTCAATCCACATTATTGTAGATTTGTGAAGCACTTTGAGATGCCTCAATGACATGATAGGGCTCTATATCAAAGGCAAGGATCATTATTATTATTCAGTCAACTGAGTCCCCTTCAAGTGTACGTTAAAGAGCCTGTGACATTATTCAATCGGTTTCTGCGACCCTCGAGACAGATTAGCCATTCATAATAATAATAATAATCCTTGCATTTGATATAGCGCTTTTCACGTCAGGAGGACGTCCCAAAGCGCTTCACAGAACACGCTGTAAAGTGAATTAACTGTATATTTGTGGGCGAACGCGGCAGCCAATTGCGCACAGCAATGTCCCACAAACAGTCATAGATTGAAAATGACCAATTTAATTATTGTTTTTGGTTTTTTGGAGGGATTATTATTAGGCTCTGTGTGGAGTAAGGAAACTTGCCCAAGGTTTCGCCCTCTGCCTGGAATTGAACTCAGGTCTCTCACTTGCAAAGCGAGTGCTCTAACCACTGAGCTACAGGACTCCAATTCATCTCATTTGTATTTGTGGAACCAGTTGGTACAACTGGGCTGCAGAGTTTATCTACAGTACCCTTCCCTCCCCTCAACAATTTGCACTTATAAAGCACCTTTCACCATAGCAGAACATCTCAAAAAGTTGTACAAAAAAATAAGGGTACTGCACTTCACAGAAATTGCTTGTGGAACACTTCCAGGCATTTTGACTTGATCAGATGCCATAGTGAGGATAGCTCTTTCTTTCCAATGATTGATGATGATGATGATGATGATAATAATAATAGGAATAGTCCTTGCATTTGATATAAAGCCTTTGACGTCTTCGAGACTTCTCAAGACACCAAGACGATAAGTATTCCGACACCTTTCTGGGTTGAAAGTCAGGCAGAAGCAGGCAGCACTCTGTGTGTTAAATGGAGAGTCGCTTATGGTTTAGGTAGGCACCATGGCTACAGATGCCTGCAGTCACCTCCTCCCCCCAACCCCACCTTCCCCCCTGCTCAGCGCCAGCGCCCCGTCTTTGTGAAGTGCTCTGAAATGCTATCCAATGTGAAGGGCGCCAACATAAATGCAGGTGGTTCTTGTATCTTTCCAACTTGCTCCATCCCTCCTCAGGTCCATGCCCTAGTACCTCTCTCCTCTCCGACCTGCTTTTTTCTTCCCGCCGGCTTCGCTCGACTGGCTCCGGCCAACTGCTTGTTTCTCCTTCTCTCCGCTCCACCATCGGCGGCTGTGCTTGCAGCCACTGCGCCCAAAAACTTTGGAATTCTCTCCCTCCATCTCTTTGCCTTGCCTCCTCCTTCCCCTTTTTCAGATCACACCTGAAGACGTTTCCCGCCCCCTCTATTTAGCTCAGTGTCAAGCTCCACCACTGTTAAGCGCTCGGAGGTGCTACATGAATGCAGGTTGTGGTTGTTGTTCAAGTTACATCTCAAAATGCATCTCTTTGACCTTGCTTTGGTCATCTTCCCCCCCCCCCCACTCCCCCGCTTAGCTCCCACCCTCAAGCTCAGATGCCCATCCAGCGATTTGAGACATCCTCTCAATGTGAAACACTCTGTATAAATGTAATTGAATTGTATTGCATAGCTCTACAGAATTTGTTTTCCATTAATCCCCAGCAATGAGAGCTGGCAATGTAAACATAGCTCCCCAATGATATAAGATAGCTCCCCACTGACATTGCTAGGAACCGTATTGTAGATTTTGTTCCCAGCAGAGAGGATGTAACAGTCACATCAGGTGCAGTGCACTAATAACATCAATCCTTGCATTTGATATAGAACCTTATCACATCTCAAAACGCTTCACGGAATTTACTGTAACATGCAATGTGGACAGCATTGTCCCAAGTAGCCATGGAGTGAGTAACCAATTTTGGGGGGGAATTGTCGGCCAGGACACCGGAGAAACTGACTTCTCCTTTCGAATAGTGTCATATAATCTTTATCACGCATCTGAACACACAGACAGGATCTCAGTAGCTCATCTCAAGGGCAGCATCACTGACAATGCAGTGCTCTCCCAACAACGCAAAATCTTTTGACTCAGAGGCGGGAGGGCTACCAACAGAGCTAAACTTGGGCTGTGGTTTATGGTGCTAGCAGAAATCCACAAATCGAACCTAATCTTAATTTACAGTTAACTCAGAAACTGTTTTTCCGCAGGGTTTATTTGGGAATTGCAGAAAACTGGCTTCTAACTTGAGACTGAATTTGAGAACTTTTTGAAAATTCTGCAGTCTTAAATTTTGCAATAGCCATGGCATTAAGGCTAAGAACTCATGGAGTCCCATAGTATAGTGGTTAGCTCACTTGCCTTGCAAGCGAGAGGACCAGGGTTCGATTCCTGGGCGGGGTGAAACCTTTGGCAAGTTTCCTTACTCCACACACCTCTGTTTACCTAGCAGTTAGTAGGAACCCAGTTGCGATACGGCGCTATATCAAATGCAATTATATTATTATTAATATAAGACTGCAGGCTTTAGAAGTTTAATCTTGTGGCCTGGAAATTAGAAATGCAGTTAAAGACACCAGCATAGGACTGCAGTAGAATTCTCTGGTCTAGTCTGAAGGCTATTGACTTAAAATCACTGCAAGATTTTGGAAAGTTGTTCAGTTCAGTTAAGTTGTTTCTCTTTAGGAACTGCAGAAAACTGTGAAAATGGGCTTAAGGCTGAAAGTTCCAAAAGAGAGAACTGTAGTTTGATTGATGCTAGAATTATGTGATAAACCACTTGGATAAATATTGTTCGCTTGGATAAACCTCTTGGACTAAGATTGATATTAAATAATGTAAGATTAATATTTAACTGTGTGAATCACTTTGAGGCATCTTCCCAATGTGAAAAGGTGCTATATAGATCCAAATTGTTGTTGATGTAATTTTGACACCNAAAAAAACACTCTGTCTGTAGGCAGTTGAGGTAAGGCACATGGTTAGTTTTTGGACAGTTAATTACATGCGTAAAACTAGTCTGGAAATTTTCCTTGATCATCTATGTCGTACTTTCCCCAGGAGATAGTTGGAAGGAAAAAGCTCTTAAATAGTGCTGGGTTTGCATGATGTGTGGAAAGAAAGAACTTGCAGTTTAATAGTCCTTCGGGCCTTCAAAACATCTCAAAATGTATCTGGATCATTGTTGAGCAGGACAGCCGGAGGAACTACCTTCCCTTCTCAAATTGTGTCAAGAGATAGAACTGTAGAAGTTTGCAATACGGAACAAGGTCATTCGGCCCATTGTGCCTATTCTGTCTGGTTTATAAAGAGCAATCCTTTCAGTTTACTCTTTGACATCTGTCAGGCAAGTGGGAGCTTGGTTTAACATCTGATCTGAAGGACAGGTTTGTTGAGATCGACAGAGTACAGTAGGGTGTAAAGAGCAAGCTCAATGGGACACCTGGCCTTTTAGAGATCTGTGCATTTTGTGACTTATCGAGTTGAAATACCATGAGTTGAAAATGGTCCGTCTTGTCATTCATTGCGCTGTGACAATACTGGCTATCTCGGGTTTTGGAGTTCAGGCGTACTTGGAAATTGATGGGACAATTTCTGTGCTCTGAATTTGGATTGATGTAGACCACTGTGCCAAAATAGAATCAGTAGAGATGTCTGGGGTGAAATATGATCATAGGTCACAAACAAGAAGCACTGACAAGATCCAAACTTGGTCTTGGATTTCACTGTTCATACATATGTACCCAAGCCCAACATTGGAGAAGGATCTTCCGTATGCATTTCGTTCGTGTCCTCACTGACCAAAGCGTGTCAGCCTGGCTCGGTTGGTAGCATTGTGCCTCTGATTCAGAAGGATGTGGATTCAAACACCCACATTGGGACTTTGAAGTCGTATAGTCTCGGCTGACACTCCAGTGCAATGCTGGGGGAGCGCTGAGTTTTCGGATGTGCTGCCCTTTGGATGAGACATCTGTTTGTATTTCAGGTAGAATAAATCCTTCAAAAAGATAATGGAGATTTCTTCTGGTGTCCTGGCAAGTATTTCCCAAATAAAATCAGTCATTCACTTCATAGCTATTTGTAGGACATGGCTGTGTGCAAGTCGGCTGTCGCATTCACCTACAAAATACAGTGATTGCACTTTACAGTAATATCCCGTGGAGCACTTTGAGACGTCCCTCCAATGTGAAAGGCTCTAAATCAAATGTAAGGATTATTTATTTATAACGTTCTGCATTTTGTTCTCTCTCTTTGTGGGTGAAAGAGTCATTGGTTGCTTGAGGACATAGAGAGGGGACAAGTTGAGAGGCCTGAGACAGAATAGAATAGATATTCCTCCGAAAAAAAGTAAACTGCCTTGCCTGACATACAAAAAGCAGTTAACAAGAATATAAAGTCCAGAAATACAGAGAGAACCCAGTGTTGTGTGCAATATAGCATAAGTGAATTTCTTTGTTTTAATGGATAGAATGATGAATGGATGGATGGATACTGACTTAGGTAATGTAAACTGGACATTAAATTCAAAGTTTTGCTTGTCTTCCTTGTGTTTCTCAAACGTTATTATTTCACAATGTTTCTGGTAGTGAAATGAAAATGTCAGCTTGCGTATCAATCCTTTTGAGTAATATCCACTTAATGGGATCTGAACCTGTAAACAAGCAAGGGATGGCAGAGCATTTTAAAATGCTCTGAGCTCTGTTGAGCGTGATTTAATTTAAACCTGCCCTTCGGATGAGATGTTAAACCGAGGTCCTGTCTGCCTGTTCAACTGGATGCTATAGATTCCATGGCACCATTGGAAAAGAGAGGGGAGTTTCTCTTGATAAAACTCCATGGCTGATTTTGGGACACTGCTGTGTGCAAATTGGCTGCGCCCATAAAATACATACAATCTCACCACTTCACATTATATCCTGTGGAGCGCTTTGAGATGTAATAAAGTGCGATAAAACTCAAATATTACTATTAATTGGCAAGAAGAATGAGTTACATAGAGGGATACAGCACAGCACAGCACAGAACCAGGCAAGGGAGTGCATGCCAGTCTGGCTCAGCCATTAGCTCTCTTGACTATGAGTCAGTTTAATGTCTCATCTGAAGGACGACTCCTCCGACAATGCAATAATTTAATTTGGTCCACAGCCCATTGGGTGCCATTTCTTGGGCGCTATTAGTATCACTGAGACGAACGTCTTTCCACGTTTGCTTTGTAATTTTCACATGTGGTCGGTGCTACTTTGCAATATATTCCTCTCTGGTGATTGAAAACAGCCACAGCTTCACTTAAAATAGTACGCTGGAGTGAATTCCCCAAATGGGAGAGCAGGCATTGTCCTTCCATTCCTTGATTGTTACTGTTGCACTGCAGAGACTAACTCACTGCAGTCAGTCTATGTGGAAGAGGTGAGCAAAACTTACTTCCCTGTGCAGTGGGATCTTGTATTTCTTTGCCCAATAACCAACTACAACAACAAATTACATTTGTACAGCGCCTTTCGCGTCGGGAGGATGTCCCAAGGCACTGAGCAGTCAGGGATTTAGACCCGAGCTGGGGTTTGGGATCAGAAAGGGGGGAAGGGCAGGGTGGGTAGGGATAGGAGGATGACTGAATGCGCGGTTGAAGAGGAGGGTTTTAAGACGGACCCTGAAGGAGGCGAGGGTAGGGTGAAGGGATGTGGGATGGAGTTCCAGACGGTGGGGGCAGAGAGGCTGAAGGCTCGACCACCAATGGTGAGGCAGGCTGGGCAAGAAACATGGAGCTGGCCAGAGCCCTCTGAGCAGACATGTCAGTATATCATGAACCAGTGACTATTCTCCTTGGAAAAGGTGGATGGTGGGTGGGTGAGGTGTGCAGGGAGGTAAACATGATCTCTTTTCTGCAAAAAAATGTGCCAGGCAATGGGATATTGGAATCAAATCAACCCTCTCTGGTGGTCTCCACAGTCTGAGCCAGGCTGGTGGTCCACAGCACTCCCTCACACTGTTAGCGACAGACCAGCCAGCCTGGCTCATCAGCAGGAATTAGAGGGGCAGATTAGTCACTGGGAGCAAGGATTCATCCCACCTGCCTCCTGTTAACCCTGCAAGCCAAAGCCTTAAAAGGCACGATTGGACCATCAGTGAGAAGCTGTGCAGGGGGCCCAGTCATGGCCACTGTGATTCTAACTGACCCTGTGGTATACAGTAATTTTTTTAGGTCAGCCAGGTGTTTTGCTTAAGCATCACTATGCTTAAGAGCCAAACCAGACTGAAAGTTTCATTTATGTATGCCATCTACACGTGGAAATTTCCCTGTCTGGAATGGAATTTGCATTCTCTCTCTCTCCCCAGAGGGACGCACTCTGCTTACCTAATTCCAGAGAGTATTTAAGCGAAGGTTTGCAAGAACCAAGGGTTGAGGACACCAGAGTGTACTTTAGAGTAACTGCTGGAGACTAACCAGCTAAAACTGTGAAGCTTGTTATTGAGAGCCCTGTATGGCAAGCTTTCCCCTGCTTGTCCAGTTAAGACCCATTAGTGATTTGGCTTGCAGAGCTAACAGGAGCTGAGTAGGAATTATCCCTACCTTCAGTGACTGATCAGCCCTTCCAGGTGCTGTCAATGAGCTATGCTGTCATCAGCAATTTCCTGGAGTACTGCAGATCCCCACTGTTGTCAAGGCATAGTCTGTAAATAATTTTGAGAGGGAATTAGATAGATGCTTGGAAGGAGGACGAATATCAAAGAGTGTGGGGGTGGGGATGTGATGTGGAGAGTGGGATTAGATTAAGTGGCTCACATGGAGACATGTGACACCCACCCTATCCTTGCCACCATCAGTGGCGTTCCTTGCCCCTAATTCTCTGTAACTCTTTCCCTCTACCCCTCCGTCTCTCCCCCTCCTCCATTTATTTCCAGGTCCGGCCTTTGAACCTAATAAGTACTCTTTACACTTGGTACAGCGCCTTTCACATTGGTAGGACGTCTCAAAGCGCTTCACTGGATATACTGTGAAGCATAGTAAATCTGTTTTGTAGACAAACCCATTTTGCACTGAGCAGTGTCCTGCAAACAGCCATGAAATGAAAATAATAACCTACTTCTTCAACCTTGTTTATGGTTACCCTCCACTATCTCTCCTCAGAACCCAACCCCATCAGTGTAAGGCATTCTGAGACGTTGTCCTACATAAATGCACATTGTTGTTTGTTTGTTTACAAAAACTTGCGTTTATATAGCGTCCTTCACGCGGGGTAGCGTCCCGAAGTGCTTGACAGTGGTGAAGTCTGACCCCGAGTTCAGGGTAAGAGGGAGTGGGGAGGTGACCGTAAGTACGATCGAAGAGGAAGATTTTTAGGTAGGATTTGAAAGTGGAGAGGTAGGGGGCAAAACTAAACGCTGATTCAGGGAGTTTCAGAGTTAGTGGCTGAAGTCACGGCCACCGATGGTGGAGTTTGTTGTTTGTTGGTTTAACAGAAGCAAGAATAGAAACTGACTTTGAGAAATACAACTGGCTCCCCCAAACTGTCGCCAAACTTTCCGTAGCGTGTTTCTAACTGTACAGTGAGTCAACTCGGACCACCTCAGATGCAGGTGGGAGGCAGATTTAGATTGATGGTGAGGGCGTAGGAGGACACATGCCAGGCGTTATATATTCTCAACAATTTGTAACAGAACCAGCAAAATATAGTTTGGAATTAACCATAATTTGCACTCCACTCCTACCTTTCAGAGCTGTTCAGCTTCTTAGCACCACTTATAGATTCAGT